AGTCTTTAGCTGACACTCCAGGATTCTTCTTCACCTCATTGAGCAGTCTGCGCTGTGCTCTTGCAGTCATCTTTACAGGATGGCCACTCCTAGGGAGAGTAGCAGCAGTGCTGAACTCTCTCCATTTATAGACAATTTGTCTTACCGTGGACTGATGAACAGCAAGGCTTTTGGAGATACTTTTATAACCCTTTCTAGCTTAATGCAAGTCAACAGTTCTTAATCGTAGTTCTTCTGAGAGCTCTTTTGTGCGAAGCATCATTCACATCAGACAATGCTTCTTGTGAAAAGCAAACCCAGAACTGGTGTGTGTTTTTTATAGGTCAGGGCAGCTGTAACCAACACCTCCAATCTCATCTCATTGATTGGACTCCAGTTGGCTGACATCTCACTCCAATTAGCTCTTGGAGATGTCATTAGTCTAGGGGTTCACATACTTTTTCCACCTGCACTGTGAATGTTTACATGGTGTGTTCAATAAAAACATGGCAACATTTCATTATTTGTGTGTTATTGGTTTAAACAGACTGTGATTGTCTATTGTTGTGAGTTAGATGATGATCAGATCACATTTTATGACCAATTTGTGCAGAAATCCATATCATTCCAAAGGGCTCACATACTTTTTCTTGCAACTGTATTCAAATATCACTAATAAGTTCAGGCTGCGCATATGCTGGACTTTATCACCTCAATACTGTGCATGTAGAGAATAAAAAAAAAATATTAAAAATGATCTACACATTGTGTTAGAAAATCCAAGCAAATTCCTAAATTATGATGTCACCTGTGGCTTGATATGAAAATTTACTGGTATTTATGTGCAAAATTAAAATAAGATTGTGAATACCGCCTTTTGCGTGATAGATTTTACGGAAAAAAACAGTTGATCTTACTTAATCTAACAAATAGCTACCAAAATCAATGAAAAAAAAATCAAATTTCACTTGAGGGGGGGCTAACCCGTAGTCACGCCCACAAAGTTAAGTAGGGAATACCGCCTCTTGCGTGATAGATCTAACGAAAAAAACAGTTGATCAAACCTGATCTAACGAATAGCTACCAAAATCAGTAACATTTTGTCCAAATTTCAGTTGAGGGGGGGCCAGCCCCCCCTAATTATATATGCAATATCTCAGTAATTAGACTAGATCAAACAAAAATTTTGCCTGATCAAACCTGATCTAACGTAGAGCTATCATAATCAACAACATTTTCTCCAAATTTTTGTTGAGGGGGGGCTGGCTACGGGTTAGCCCCCCCTGACAATGATTGTTAATATTGCATATTTTAGAGTAGATCTAACGAAAAAAATTGTTGATCAAACCTGATCTAACAAAGATCTAACAAATGGAATAATCTTTTGTTAAAATATTCAATATGGGGGGGCTAATGCGACATCTGTGCAATTTCAAATCTTCTGTTGTGTACGTAATTAAAAAAAAACTCAATAAAGATTAAACATGGGGGAAAACAAAAAAAACTAAGAAGTCATACGGGTGGTGGGGGGTGGGGCAATACAGTGGACATTCCTTGGTGTCTATGGAATATACACATCATATGTGGTTGGGGACCCCAACAAGTATCTACACAATAACAACTGCTACCACTAATTTTAAATACTGCTTAGTGAATAATTATCTCCTAATCTCCAGTGTTCTAATTTGACCCATATTACATAGCTATGCTTTGTCCCGCATGATAGATTTCACTTCAGATATCAGTAAACATGTTAAGCAAGCTCTGATCAAGTGACCTGCTTGCAATGCAAACATGTACACTTAGAAATCGAAACTTTAATAGACGTTAATGATCTGGTCACATGAGGATTTAGCAATCTTTTTCAGACAGAAAAACAAAATACCAGTATATAAATTCAGCACAAATTATGGACAAAGCTTAATGAGCCATGAACACACACCAAAAATAATAATAATAATAATAATAATAATTTTTTCTTGCTTTGCGGTAGCAGCCAGAGCTCATTTTGGGGTAGTTTTCCGTAAATAACAGCAGATTACAATTCAAGCAATTTCACCAACACCCCGGATTAGAAAATAGACAATGTGTGCATCTCATTGCAACTCAGTACATATAGCGAATCCCCACTAACATGACCCTTCTGCATTGGATAGAGTGGGAAATAATGTAAAACTGTGTACTTCTAATCCTTGCTGGACTACAACTCTCATCAACCTCAGTCAGTGGCAAGTTAAGGATAATAGAAACTTACTGTACCCTCACTTTGTCTCTGGTGACCTAGGAGGGGGAAGGACTGACGATCACTCTGAAGCGCAGGTCTCTCCCAATGGGTGCTGAAGCAGACATGGGGTGCAGATTCTGGATATTCCTGCAATCTATATGTTCCTTGGCTGCGAAAAAAGAAATCTTAAGGGAGTTATATCTAACGTTAAAGGATTAATCTTTGCTCACACAATTGCACCAGATGTTACTGCGACACAGTCTAAGTCACTGCTATCGTTTAGCTTCACCGTGTAAATCACATTTTAACATCCCTCCCAGCTTAACTGGAAAAGTAACAATATCAGAGCAGTCAGTTTCTCTGAACTTTTACATAATCATTGATTGTTATTGAATACTTACATTTAAAGACTTAAGCATACCTCCCAAGTGCCTCTATTTAGGAATGACAGTCCCTATTTTGCACCAACATCCCTCTGTCCCTCTTTTTTGAGGGGCTCCCTGTTGTTGGTGTGTCTGAGTGTATAACAGAGCTCCACAGCAATAATACTCCCAGTAATGTGTCTGAGTGTATAACAGAGCTCCGCAGCAATAATACTCCCAGTAATGTGTCTGAGTGTATAACAGAGCTCCGCAGCAATAATACTCCCAGTAATGTCTGTGTGTATAACAGAGCTCCACAGCAATAATACTCCCAGTAATGTGTCTGAGTGTATAACAGAGCTCCACAGCAATAATACTCCCAGAAATGTGTCTGAGTGTATAACAGAGCTCCACAGCAATAATACTCCCAGTAATGTGTCTGAGTGTATAACAGAGCTCCACAGCAATAATACTCCCAGTAATGTGTCTGAGTGTATAACAGAGCTCCACAGCAATAATACTCCCAGTAATGTGTCTGAGTGCATAACAGAGCTCCACAGCAATAATACTCCCAGTAATGTGTCTGAGTGTATAACAGAGCTCCTCAGCAATAACACTCCCAGTAATGTGTCTGAGTGTATAACAGAGCTCCACAGCAATAACACTCCCAGTAATGTGTCTGAGTGTATAACAGAGCTCCACAGAAATAATACTCCCAGTAATGTGTCTGAGTGTATAACAGAGCTCCACAGCAATAATACTCCCAATAATGTGTCTGAGTGTACAACAGAGCTCCACAGCAATAATACTCCCAATGTGTCTGAGTGTATAACAGAGCTCCGCAGCAATACCCAATAATGTGTGTCCTGAGTGTATAACAAGAGCTCCACAACAATAATATATTATGTATCGGTGCTTTAACAGAGCTCCTGGCAATATACTCCAGTAATGTGTCTGAAGTGTATAACAAACTCCTGTACTCCCAGTAATGTGTCTGAGTGTATAAATGAGCTCCACAGCAATAATACTCCCAGTAATGTGTCTGAGTGTATAACAGAGCTCCACAGCAATAATACTCCCAGTAATGTGTCTGAGTGTATAACAGAGCTCTACAGCAATAATACTCCCAGTAATGTGTCTGAGTGTATAACAGAGCTCCCTAGCAATAATACGCTCAGTAATGTGTCTGAGTGTATAACAGAGCTCCCTAGAAATAATACTCCCAGTAATGAGTCTGAGTGTATAAAAGAGCTCCACAGTAATAATACTCCCAGTAATGTGTCTAGGTGTATAACAGAGCTCCACAGCAATAATACTCCCAGTAATGTGTCTGAGTGTATAACAGAACTCCACAGCAATAACCTCCCAATGTCTTGACTGAGTGTATAGCAGAGCTCCACACAACAATAATATAATGTGTCTGAGTGTATAACAGAGCTCCACAGCATTAATACTCCCAGTAATGTGCATGAGTGTATAACAGAGCTCCCAGCAATAATACTCCCAGTAATGTGTCTGAGTGTATAACAGAGCTCCACAGCAATAATACTCCCAGTAATGTGTCTGAGTGTATAACAGAGCTCCACAGCAATAATACTCCCAGTAATGTGTCTTTATACTGCAATAAATGTATTTAGAAATCAGTCTGTGTAAATAAGATACATTGTTCATATTATAAATTACTTTACTGTTATTAGTAAATCACTTAAAATCTCTCAGAACAGGCACACCCCCACTCACACCCCTAAAATTAAAGTGTCTGTCTTTGTCCATTTTGAATGTTAAGAGGTTTGAGTTAAAGTTACTTTGTTTCCTGCCGATTGCGGTTATACAGGTAATTTAAGGAAGGTGCAAGGTGTCTCCTGAACTGGCCACACACCCCGCAGTCCAGCTATTGCTGTCACTTCGTGGGAGAGTGTGGATAAAGGGCTGTCACATCTGCCGTGCAGACCTTTGTATCTTAAGATGTGCCCGGACAGGCTGTCTCAGACTGGGAGTGAGCTGTGTGCAGAGAGCAGTCACTCCCAGAGGGCGTTTCTCTGCACGCATCGAGTCTCAGCAAAAACACAGAGCTGAAATAAAGTTCCAGTATAACTTACTCACTTCCTTGAATGTTTATACCTGTCTCTGCTCACCTGGTCCTCTCTCTTTCACTTTCTCTCCACTGCTGTAACTCCACCGGCCACCAAACATGGGCAAACACTCCACCAACATGAGGGTCAAGCTGCCCATCTTCTGCTTGCTGCTGGAAGCCATCACCATTCTGCTTTTTGCCATCTTTGTGAGATATAACGATGAGACTGATGCCAGCGAATGGCACGACAGAATGAAGAAGCACAACGAATCCAACGCCGATAACGATTTCTATTTCCGCTATGCCAGTAAGTATTGCCAACGGGCCAGGTCCCGTTCACCATCACCTCTAATGCCAGAGCTGAAACAGTTAAAAGGATTTAGACGGGTAGTATCATTCCTCTGGAATTTCTTATTAAAAGGTGCCAGATCTACTGTGTTTTCCTAAACACTTACTCGTACTGCTGGGCAGAGTATGAAAAGGGCTGCCCTGCAGGATGCAGAATTCCAGTGCTGTACGAGGTACCTCCATTCATTAAATTATGGAGGAAGATTGCGATGCCCTGCATATTTCAGGAAAGCACTTTTCACGCCCTGCCCATCCACAAGAAAATGTCAGGAGACATTGTACTGCGCTGCGGAATTTGTTGGCGCTTTATAAATAAATAACGAGTCTTGGAACAGATGGTGAATCTGGCATATCTGTTGGGAACAAGACCCCACAGAACTCTTCTTGACTGTTTACATACTGGGCTGCCCTCCCTGTACAAACAGTAGTCCCATTCTGACTGTGCCAGCCGATTACTGCTCAGCCTGGCGCACTTGGCTGGCACAGTGGAAATTTTCCTGATTGTGTTTCACCCTCCTATAAGAGTAGTCCATTCTGCAAGCCCCAGACACAGATATTGAATTGCCATCTCTTGGGCACGGATTCTGCAGTCACATAATCTCCCATTGTAGAAAAGTAAAAATAGTCTGAGCACATTAATAATTACCTGTTAGTTTTACCGCTGGTTCCGGCTTCAGACTCTGTAAATCAGTCACTAGCCGGAGAAATGACACTTCTACAAACTGCATCATTAAACAGAAAACACATGTTTAATTGTTCAGTCTCGGAGGGAGGAGCTGAGTGCTAGGTATCAGCTGTGTATAGGAAGGTATTGATTCATTTCTTTATATGTATATATGGAGATATTCTCTGAGTCAGGGATTGTGGGGAATTGCAAATTGTAAGACGAAATAGTCAAATTGGACCAATTCTCCAAATCGGTTGTTTAATTTTACATTCCTTTGTCAATGATCCAAATGCCTTGTTTTAGTGAATTAACCTTAGTCTATGTACTATATGTACTAGACTTGTGCACAAACCTTTCTCAGCTGTTTCACACAAATCAAATTTGCTTTTTAATCTATGCTTGACCAAATCGATCCACCCAGGATTTAATGCATAATATTCCAAAGGTAAGTCCTGGACGGGTCGAATGTAAAATAAAAGGAATTTGATTCGATCGTACCAGCTGAAACGATTTTGTTCACAAGTGTAATAGGTACAGCGTTAGAGAATTTCTTTTATCCGTCTATACATTGGCTGCAGAATGGGTGGGCTATATATGTTTAAATCCAATTCTAAACTACTTACCTGGTATCAGAGAGCAGATCGGGTAAACGTTAAAGGAAGGGTTAATATGAACTGGGACATGTTTTAAACTGCGGTCTTTAGACTACCAGTCAGTCATCATCTAATTAGTGTGGTTTATGGTTTTGTTTAATTAAGTTTGAAAAGGATAGTGAAGACATTGTTTTCTCCTAATTCCATTAACATCTATATATATATATATATATTTTTTTCTCTGTCGCGATTATTCTCTAATCTTCAAATTGCACTGAATGTCAAACTTTAGACAAAAATATTAAACCTGTAACTAAACCGAACTGAGAAACCTTCTCCTAAAATTTGCCATGTAGATGTTAATTTAGTGCAAGCTGGAATCGAGTGAATAACCTTTTATAAAACTAGAACTGCGGTCTCAGCAGATTGGAGTGCAAGCTCCTGTGAACACAGCCTGTCTGGGGTCTGCTCTGTGAATAGACAGCAGCCAGGAGTGAGAGTGGTCTTGGATCAATTAACAGGTTACCCTGACCCAGGATCACTCTCACTGGTAGGTCAAGCAGCGGAGAGGGGGAAGGTGTCAAAGAAGACTTACACAATTCAATAAATATACACGGCTAATCAAACACAGCATAAAATAAAAGTCCCCTAATTTGTTTAAAAATGTTAAAAAAAAACATGCTGATTTTAGTTATCAAATATTGAACATTTGGGAGAAATAACACTCCTAGTGTACCACTAATAGGACTGCCAGATTCATCCTGTATCCCTGCACAAACATACATAATATTTTAATGAGGAGTACCCAGAACTTTCCTCTCTGCAGATACTGCAGGTAGATAATAAAGCGATTCATTGTTGAGACATCTTGCAGAGTATGACTACTATATACTCCAGGGCAGCACTCTTCATGTACTGCCCACATTATATATATATATATATATATATATATATATATATACACACACTGCATATGTACATTCAAAATGTGCTCAAGCAAGCTTTGTGGGTTTGGCAACCCTAACCATCACTAAAAGCAGATAAACTATGTAAAATAATGAATTTAATGCCTCCCTTCTGCAGCATAGGAATTCTACATACTAAAGGGATGGGCAGTATGTTTTCTGGACTGACCTATCAGCACGAAGTAAAATGTGATATGTGTCCTCAACTCATAGCGGCTAAGGCAATCCTAACCTGTCGGGCGGTTTTTTAAATCGCACAATTCCATTTTATTTATTTAGGAGCATTTTATTTATTTTTTCCCCTACCACACTGTTGGAGAGAACATTCTACTTGTTTATCTCTTTCTATTTACTTTTATGATGTTTTGTTGTAGGGATAATCTCCGAGCATCCCAAACATCACAGGAAGATTTTAGAATGTTAAAAATGAGCTGTAATTGGTATTTTTGCCATGTCAACCTAGAAAGCTATAGGTTCCACAAACTGTCCGAGACCCAAGTCCCACCATTCCAGGTCATATCTCCAGTGCCCTGCAGAAGTACAGGACAATTTACCTAACTAGCCACATGGGTCTGGCCCAGCGCAGGCACCCAGGGGTACCCAGTCTCCCGGCAAGACTGCAATAAACCAACGCTGCCCCAGCGTGTTGCAAGCCGGCCAGCTGTGCACCTGTCGAGATTCCTTAGAATCCACCTATGGCTGGAAGTGATATTAGAAGATGAAATATTTGAACTGTTTACGAGAGGCGGTACAGAGGGCTTGTGTCAGACTATTATGATTATAAACGACTTTCACGTGATGCTGACAGCACAAACGGAGAAGTGATTTATTTATTTATTTAGCCGTTTTCTATTTGACTCAGCTGTCGTAGAGACACAGTCACAGCAGTGAAAGGGTTAACGATGTAAGAAAAGACGGATTAGCATCATGAGAATAAGCAGTGACAACGTTGGGGATGGCCGCTTTTAGAATTATTTACTAAAGCTTGAATCGCGGCAAACTGAAATATGAAGAGAAAAACATAGACAAAAATAGCTGATATGGAAAAATTCTCCAATCCAGCCAGCGTTCGTCACGGCTCGACTATTCTAGCCTTAATTCAGATATCAATTTATGAATTCTACATACTAAAGGGATGGGCAGTATGTTTTCTGGACTGACCTATCAGCACGAAGTAAAATGTGATATGTGTCCTCAACTCATAGCGGCTAAGGCAATCCTAACCTGTCGGGCGGTTTTTTAAATCGCACAATTCCATTTTATTTATTTAGGAGCATTTTATTTATTTTTTCCCCTACCACACTGTTGGAGAGAACATTCTACTTGTTTATCTCTTTCTATTTACTTTTATGATGTTTTGTTGTAGGGATAATCTCCGAGCATCCCAAACATCACAGGAAGATTTTAGAATGTTAAAAATGAGCTGTAATTGGTATTTTTGCCATGTCAACCTAGAAAGCTATAGGTTCCACAAACTGTCCGAGACCCAAGTCCCACCATTCCAGGTCATATCTCCAGTGCCCTGCAGAAGTACAGGACAATTTACCTAACTAGCCACATGGGTCTGGCCCAGCGCAGGCACCCAGGGGTACCCAGTCTCCCGGCAAGACTGCAATAAACCAACGCTGCCCCAGCGTGTTGCAAGACGGCCAGCTGTGCACCTGTCGGGATTCCTTAGAATCCACCTATGGCTGGAAGTGATATTAGAAGATGAAATATTTGACCTGTTTACGAGAGGCGGTACAGAGGGCTTGTGTCAGACTATTATGATTATAAACGACTTTCACGTGATGCTGACAGCACAAACGGAGAAGTGATTTATTTATTTATTTAGCCGTTTTCTATTTGACTCAGCTGTCGTAGAGACACAGTCACAGCAGTGAAAGGGTTAACGATGTAAGAAAAGACGGATTAGCATCATGAGAATAAGCAGTGACAACGTTGGGGATGGCCGCTTTTAGAATTATTTACTAAAGCTTGAATCGCGGCAAACTGAAATATGAAGAGAAAAACATAGACAAAAATAGCTGATATGGAAAAATTCTCCAATCCAGCCAGCGTTCGTCACGGCTCGACTATTCTAGCCTTAATTCAGATATCAATTTATTACAGATTGGGGTTTAGTAAATAACTGTTATTATTGCTGGGGAACCAAACTGAATTCAAATTGTATTTAACATTTAGGCCAAAAATAGCCCTGACTGAAAATAAAGCTGAATTGGATATTTTTTTTTTGGAGGGGAGATTTTGGCTGCTATTACCTAAAATGTAATTTTCAATCTCTGAAAATTTACATTTTGGTGAATGACCCTGTCAGTCTATACCTCAAACATGTAATTATTATGTCAAGTGCAAAATTGGGTCTGACAGGTGCTTTCCCACTGCTACTTAACCTTCTGTGAAGTATGGCAGCTGTAGCCCAGGGCTGGCTTACTTTAGTGGCTGTGGCCATCCGAAAAGAGCCGTAGAGCTAATGTTTATCCAATTCAAGTATTATGGGAGATTCCAGCCGGGGTGGGAAGCTACAGATTTCCCATCTCAGTGTGTCAATATAGGTTGGCTGAGAGTAAGAGGATTTGTAGTCCAGTAACATCCAGTTCTAGAATTTGGCAATCACTCATTTAGAACCATTTAGATTAATATAATTGATGAAAGTTGCAATCCAGTATTATGGATGGTTCTGGTCTGCCTTTTCCTGTATTAAACCGGGTTGTGGCTGAGGATGATGAGAGAAATAGAGTATTGTATTGTGAAGTCACCTGTGTTTACTCTCCAGTCAGCTGGAGCTGGAACCTCAGTCTGCAGAATTCAATAAATATTCAGGCTGTGGTTTTAGGAGTTTAAACCCAAACTGAGGGGCTCTTTATACACAGAACCATGCATATTCATATATACACCACTCAAAAAAAATAAAGGGAACACAAAAACAACACATCCTAGATCTGAATGAATTAAATATTCTTCTGAAATAATTTGTTATTTACATAGTTGAATGTGCTGACAACAAAATCACACAAAAATAAAAAAAAATGGAAATCACATTATTCAACCCATGGAGGTCTGGATTTGGAGTCACACTCAAAATTAAAGTGGAAAAACACACTACAGGCTGATCCAACTTTGATGTAATGTCCTTAAAACAAGTCAAAATGAGGCTCAGTTGTGTGTGTGGCCTCCACGTGCCTGTATGACCTCCCTACAACACCTGTGCATGCTCCAGATGGTCTCCTGAGAGATCTCCTCCCAGACCTGGACTACAGCATCTGCCAACTCCTGGACAGTCTGTGGTGCAACGTGACGTTGGTGGATCGAGCGAGACATGATGTCCCAGATGTGCTAAATTGGATTCAGGTCTGGGGAACAGGCGGGCCAGTCCATAGCATCAATGCCTTCGTCTTGCAGGAACTGCTGACACACTCCAGCCACATGAGGTCTAGCATTGTCTTGTGTTAGGAGGAACCCAGGGCCAACCACACCAGCATATGGTCTCACAAGGGATCTGAGGATCTCATCTCGGTACATAATGGCAGTCAGGCTACCTCTGGCGAGCACATAGAGGGCTGTACGGCCCCCCAAAGAAATGCCACCCCACACCATTACTGACCCACTGCCAAACTGGTCATGCTGGAGGATATTGCAGGCAGCAGAATGTTCTCCACGGCGTCTCCAGACTCTGTCACGTCTGTGACATGTGCTCAGTGTGAACCTGCTTTCATCTGTGAAGAGCACAGGGTGCCAGTGGCGAATTTGCCAATCTTGGTGTTCTCTGGCAAATGCCAAACGTCCTGCACGGTGTTGGGCTGTAAGCACAACCCCTACCTGTGGACATCAGGCCCTCATACCACCCTCATGGAGTCTGTTTCTGACCGTATGAGCAGACACATGCACATTTGTGGCCTGCTGGAGGTCATTTTGCAGGGCTCTGGCAGTGCTCCTCCTGTTCCTCCTTGCACAAAGGCGGAGGTAGCGGTCCTGCTGCTGGGTTGCTGCCCTCCTGCGGCCTCCTCCACGTCTCCTGATGTACTGACCTGTCTCCTGGTAGAGCCTCCATGCTCTGGACACTACGCTGACAGACACAGCAAACCTTCTTGCCACAGCTAGCATTGATGTGCCATCCTGGATGAGCTGCACTACCTGAGCCACTTGTGTGGGTTGTAGACTCCGTCTCATGCTACCACTAGAGTGACCAAAACATCAGCCAGGAAGCATAGGAACTGAGAAGTGGTCTGTGGTCACCACCTGCAGAACCACTCCTTTATTGGGGGTGTCTTGCTAATTGCCTATAATTTCCACCTGTTGTCTATCCCATTTGCACAAGAGCATGCAAAATTGATTGTCACTCAGTGTTGCTTCCTAAGTGGACAGTTTGATTTCACAGAAGTGTGATTGACTTGGAGTTACATTGTGTTGTTTAAGTGTTCCCTTTATTTTTTTGGCAGTGTATATTAGCTATTTTTTCCTTTGTATCAAGTTTCTGCTAATATTACCACTAGGGTTGAAGGTACACTCCGAGCACCATAATCACTAGGGCTAATTAAGCGCACCCCATTGAAAATAGTCAAACATTTTAGAGAGGTTTGACTTCTTCCCTGGGGTCACCTGGGCGCTGCTCCCCACCTCTACCACTGACAACTGACTGAAGGGCTCTCTGTCTGAGCTACTGCCTGCAGTGCAGGGCGCAGCTCATTGGCTGAGAGCAATAAGATGATATTCAGATCTCCGCCATCAGCAGTGAAGGCAGTGAATGCTGCCCAGTGGACCCCAGGTAAGACGTCAAAACGTCTTAACACGGTTTGACTTATTAGAAATGAAGGGGGAGCGACAGGGCGCATCTGGTACCATAACCACTAGTTGGAGTAGTCCTTTAAGGTCCGCATCAGAGATAGAGGATACATATGGCAAAACTGGTACAAAAATACAATAAACGTTTAGCTAAGAAATAGCAATTCACACCAGTAAATCATGAAAAATAAAAAGCAATTTGACAATATTCTATAAAAACCTTGCAGCCACCCCAGACAGTAATTACGTGAAAAAGAAAATCAAAATAAAATGACTTCCAATTCCTCATCTGAGTCATTAAACTGTGCACTTTTCTTCATTTTATTGAAATATGTATGGAGTATATTTATTGCACCACTTATAATAATTTTATTTTTATTGTTATGTATGCATTTCTGCATTCATTAGAGGGCTGTCTACACTAGTTTGGGAGATCCGTTCACTCCTGTGGACTTGAACTTTTCGCCTCAGTACGATGGGAGTTGCAGTTCAGAGCATATCTAGCGTCTCGTTTATATGCAATGTTTCAGTTTGTTGATGTATTGAGCCTCCCAGCAGCTCACTCTGGTCCACAGCTCATGCAGAACGGGACACCCATGACACTCAGGCAGCTAACATTCTGTTATTTATTTATAAAATCAGAAAGTAAAATATATATGTGTATTTCGTCACTCTGTTTACCAGTGGCGGCTGGTGAATTGAAAGTTGATGGGACACTGCCCTCCCTGAGTTTCTGGGCTTTACCTGTTTAACCCCATTAGATGCCATGCCTTGTTTAAAAGCAGCTGCATCGCCAATCAATAAAGAGGAAAAAGTGCATTGCCGATACAATCATGACCGACACATGTATTTTCTAACACACACCTATCAGTAGGCCTTACAATGCCAATAGATTTGACCTCTTGGATGAAGGACTATCTAGGAATTTTCCCAGCTGCCCTAATGTTACACTGCATTTGTCACATTTATCTTGGTATTGCTAATTTGTAATATATTCTAATATTTCTCTAGTAACTGAGTTTCTCAATATTTCTACGAGGCCTTGAGAACATCTGCAGGCAATGTTTTATGCCAACTGATAACATCTGTGAGAGAATGACTCAGGCTAGCGCTCAGTATATTCCCAGACAAGAACAGGTAAAACCAGATTGCTGAAAAAATGGCTCGAAGTACAAAGGGACTGAGTAACAACAACAAATTCAACATTTAAATGTTATTGTAAAGGCATTTCCGGGTTTGGTCACAATATGACTAATGCACTTTCTCTAACCGTGAGTGAACCATTTTTCTCCAAGAAAATAATTCTATTTAATACAATTACTAAGATTAATCCATTTTAATAGCGTCCCAAATTTCTTCTTTAAACTCCGTGCCTCCCTGATTTCTAATGGCTAAGGAGGGACACTCTCACTTCAAGAGCAGAATCTTGGGGTACAGCATTGCCAATGCATTTAGGGCGACTTTGCATTGATAGAGGGTTATACACCAGAAAGGTTTGTATTGTACTTGGTGCTATTCACAATAATATAGCGTCACTGGTGGACCTAGGACATCCCAGTTTGTGTTTTAGAGTCTTTCCTTATGCTTATGGCTATCACCGGAAGAAAACAGTGGTAGCTTATCCTGTCATGGCAGCAATGGGACAATTCTGGACTTTAACCATTGAGGCAGTAGAGTAGCATTCTCTTACAATTTTTCAGTGAGTGTTTGTGAAGCTGGTGGTAGGTGGCATAGTATGGCTCTGTATGTTTGTATGTAGTTGATAGAGTGTATTTTGAGTGTTTGGGTAGGTGTGGCAGTTGTGAGCGAGTATAAGGGCAGGTAAGGTAATTCTCTGGGTGCGGTAGTTGGTAAATTGTATTTTGTGTATAAAGGTAAGTGGGGTAGTTGTGATAGTGTATAAGGGTAGGTAGGGTAAATCTCATTGTGTATTTTGTGTATTTAGTTAAATGTGGTAGTTGGAATGTGTATTTTTTTGTATAAAGGTAGGTGGAGTAGTTGTGAGCGTGTATAAGGGTAGGTAGGGTAATTGTCTGGCTGGGGTAGTAGGTAAAGTGTGAATATGTTTTTTTTTAATGTATGTATGTAGGTAGGTGGTGTAGTTGTGAGCGTGTATAAGGGTAGGTAGGCTAATTCTCAGAGTGTATTTTGTGCATATGGGTGTGTGTTGTAGTTGGTAAAGTGTATTGTGTGTATAAATGTAGCTGAGGTAGTTGTCAATTTATAAGGGTCAGAAGGGTAAGTCTCAGTTATTTTGTGTATATGGGTAGGCAGTGTAGCTACCAGACTGTAATTTGGGTATATGGGTAAGTCGGGTTCTTGCAGAGGGTATTTTTTTGTAAATGGGTAGGCAGGGTAGTTGTCAGTGTATTTTGTGTATGTGGATAAGAGAGGTAGTTGGAAGAGTGCATTTTGTTTACATGGGTAGGTGGGGTAAATTGGTAAGGGGGGTAGTTGGCAGAGTTTATTTCGGTAAGCGGGGTAGTTGGCAGAGTGTATTATTTGTGTGTATTTTTGCACATTAGAAGCTGAGAGAGAGTGAGTAGGGACTGTGCCCCCACAGGTTGGAAACCACCGTCTAGCCCCTTACTTCTGTACCCAGTAGATACCACCTTCCCAGATAATATCTGCAGTTCATCTGTCTCCAAATGGTAAATTATTTAGAAGTCAGAAGCTTTTATGTAGAGATGTCTTCATACAACACATACTTCAGGGCCGCACTAATAGATGGAAGGATTCCCTGGGCAGTTATTGCATATATTTGGACCATGGACCTTTTTAATGTTAAGGCCACTACTTAAGTAAGGGAGGAGGCTAGTGAAGGTTCCTGCATTTGTAAAGGAGGAGACTGGTGAGGGTTCCTGGAATGTCAAGAGGGGCAGAACGGAAGTAAAGCCTTAACTTAATTACCTTATCATACATCAGGCGTCGTGGACTTCATGTCTTCTTGTCCTTTCCTCAGTCACCAAGCTCAGTGCACATTAGCCAGTTGTTGTCACATGACCAAGAGAGCCCACAAACTAACTGGTTGCTCTTTGTTCACCATCAACACACTCCATGAGGACATTGTGGTCCAAAGTGAAATTGGACACAAGCAGTCGCAAGAAAATAACAAATAAAATTCTAATGTGGGATTCAGGGGTAATATGCATAATACACTCATATTTTAGTCCAGGGCTTTACTGATCAAGATTCGGGGCTCCAGCCTTTGCAGCCCAGCCCAACAATGCCACTGTCATCCTTATTAACACCGTTATGAGTTTCAAGCTCTCTTAAAAAAACAAAGAAAGGAATGCCTGGACTACATTCTTTCCAAAAGCCTTGTGTGATGAGGGGTTAATTGTAGAAGGTAATTCTCTTTCCCCTTTTTCCAGGTTAGCTGACTTGGAGAATTTTACCAATTCAGCAGTTTAGGCCTTAATTTTCATGATGAGAAGCAATTTTCTGATCCTACGTCCAATTAAGCCGTCTACCTCCGTACATGCTAGAGTTCCAAGTCAGACTGCACTCTGTCTCCTAGAGTCCCCCCACCCCCTGTGAGTCTGCTTTCAACACATAATACAATCTAACATCTTTGGGAGCAATGGGAACACCAGTTCACATGAAGACCAATGTATTTATTCTCTTTACATTGTCAGGTTTCCAACAATTCTGATTGGTCAGAAACACAATGAACCTAGTGGGTTACCTGCAGTTCTCGTAACCCATTCTGTCTACATAAAGGCAGGACGTCTTGGAGGAGTAAATGGATCTAAACCACTCTCCCTAGTTGTATCATGCATTAGTCATGGAGGCTTTACTGATCATTTAAAGAGTTTGAGGAAAAGCCAATAGCTAAATAACATTTCCACTTTCCAAACGTCCTAATTTGTTAAACGAAAGAGAAAAGTTTAATGTCCTCACGTTGCTACAAACAATTATAAAGGAATCATATTTACTAAATTATCCCTAAAAAATCTATGCATTTGATTTAATTGTATAATCTCCAGAGGTTGACTTGACAAAGTATCTATCTGATTGAACATTGCAAGAATTGACGGAATCTGCCTCACTGGGAACTTGGTCTATTTGCCTCGCAGGCTCTGGGTGAGGCAGGTAATCACCTAGTCTCCAGGGCAGCTAATTAATCTTAGGATGGGGTGGAGTGACAGATAGCTATGAGAACTCCCATCCTGGCCTTAAATAACACAGAAGCCCAGAATCAACCCCTGTATCAGTGGTAGGTAACCTTCAGCACTGCAGATGTTGTGGACTAAATTTCCCATAATACTCTACAGCCATAATCCTGGAAATTCATTAGGGGAGATGTAGTCTACAACATCTGGAGTGAGGAAAGCTGCCCACCCCTGCCCTATGTGCTTGCCAATTCAAGACTTGAAACCACAGACTGTTCCTGTTCTGGTTGCCATTGTAATTGCATGCATTTCATCTCTGCCTGCCATATTGTGTGTGTCCTACCTGTGCTCATGACATAACTGGCACCAGAGGCACAGCTGGACTGCATGGGCATTAAATGATGCCATGGACCTGCATAATTGCATTCATATTATAGGTCACTGGAAATTAGCTTGTCGCAATCAATGGCAATCAAGTCTTTCTGTTCAGAAATGGCAGATGCTCATATTAATGTGATATAATCACAAAGTACCATCTAACCTTAAAACAAACCTTTATATCATTTACGACTTTTACTGTATAAAGAAAAAGTGTTTTGTACTAATATTGACCCTGATTAATCATGTATTTGGTAAAGGTTGGCACTGACGAGCCAATCTGGAAAGACTGTCCTACAGAATATGGTCTGTTGCCTTTGCAGGCAGCCTATGTCCCAATATCTTTTTTTTATACATATCTGCCGAAACATTCCGCACATTCATGGTTCATGATTTGTACACAAATATTTTGTGGTAGTGAAACTGTCAGAAAAGGAATTGATGTAAAGCCATGCCAACCTGAAAATTGATTATGTCTCCAGCAAAATGGCCGCCCCAATGATATCCTCTCATATCACAAAGCGGCCATATTTGTACTATTACCTAATTCCACGCTGGTAATGTACCAGAAAGTATTTATTATAACTATACATGCACTAGTTATTTGGCCTGCACAACGCATATATAAAATTACAAGCACGTTGGCAAGATGCCATTTTATAAACAAACTAAATTATACATGCAATTACACACGATAAAATCTAAACTGATTTGATGCATGTTCTCAAGTTCTCCAGACTTTACCAGAATGGGTCATTAAGAACTATTTGTTTTGCTAGCCTATTGAAGCAGAAAATCTATTCAATTAACTAGTCCATACACCTCATCATAAAACAATCTAGTATATTAACATCCAAAGAACGTCTGACCTTGTGATCTGGGCTTGAGAACGCATGGGAGCAAATTTTCCACTGACTGTAACCCTAACAGAGTTTGTTATTAGTTCCATCCTGGTTAGTTTACGCTTCGAGAATTTTTATGTTTGCCAAACCAACTAGAATCAGCAAACGATGTATTTTATTATGTTTATCCTCGGTGGAATCCTCAGTGGAATTTAACGCCTTCGCTACTGAGTGCATATTTTTTAAACGTGGTTTCCATTTCTAGAACATAAGACTTATAGTCAGTAGTTTTGTGTCTATAATATCGGTGTCCATTGCTACCTAAAAATAAAATGATGTAAATGTAGACTGGCTCACCACCAGCTACGTTCCCCAATGTATGTGTGGACAATCAATCATCTATCTCAGGAACTTCTTAAGGACCGGAGTCAGGCAAATTCCTTCTGTTATCAGGAAATGCGTAGCATATCGTTGGTATTTAAATCGGTTAAGTATAAATTTGATGTGTCGGGTAAAATTAAAGCAAGCACATTTCACCGTCTTCCGAGTTGAGTACCACAGATGTCCACAATATGCTATACTTGTACAGTTTGATTATTGTATCTTATGAAAACTGTCAATGAGTATCAAGTACAAACTTTTCTTATTTTCTTAAGGCTTCCAAGATGTCCACACGATGATCTTCATTGGTTTCGGATTTTTGATGACCTTCCTAAAGTGTTATGGTTTCAGCAGTGTGGCCTTCAACTTTCTGATTGCAGCCTTCGGCCTTCAGTGGTCTACTCTCATTCAGGGCTTTTTTCATGGCTTCCACGATGGGAAAATTCATATTGGTATCGAAAGGTGAATATCTAAATTAACAAGCAACCACCTCTAAAATTATGTTGTATAAGCTGAGCTCAGACTAACTTAGGATCTCTTGCTAAAAGACAAATGTGTGTCATTGAGAAGTATATGGCAGATATGTTAAATCCTTTACATTTTCCTGGAAAATGGGTACTGAGTGTTTATTTGGGCTAGAACTCCATTAATTGTCTGCCTGTAGTAGAATGGTAGAAAACTTTTAGAGTCGTGTTCCAAATATGCAGCTCTACTCTTGTTTAAAGGTCTGTCCAAGTTCTAAATTAAAACACAATGTTCTAATAGTGGAAGGTGAGAGCCACAGGTATTCAGTCTAATATTCTAAATTTAACCATGTGTTCCTCTGAATTGTCTTTTAAAAAACTATTTGTTCGGTCGCACCGAATTTTATCCATGGGGAGTTTAAGTTCGAGTAAAAGTCCCATTCAAAACTTTTGTGGAAAAATTATTTGATCAAATCAGATTCGTGCGAAAAATGTGCCAATTTTAGTTTACAGACAGTACTCCAAATCTTGAAATAGCTCGTTCATTGTCTGTTTCAATTGTTTTGTAATTTTGCCATTTAGCAATTTGGAGTTGAGCAATTTATATGAATCACCAAAATTCGAACAAGATGAAACTGAATACACAAATCTACCATGTGGCATTTGTACTTGACAAAGAAATAAATATATGAAAAGCAGGAAAAAAAATAAAATAAATAAAAACCTTAAAGGGACACTGGGCAACAGCGCAACATCAATGTTTGATTTAGTACATTTTGGTAGATTTTTTTTTTTCCTCATATTTAAAATTTAAAATTTAGTGAAAAAAAAGCCTACGTACAAAAAAAAAACTTTTGTAGGTTTTGGCAGCATAGTTGTCTTGTCACACCCCTTTTTACAGAACGGCCAATCTATACTGTCTTCTTATTACCTATCCCCTTTTTCATTAGCAATGTAAAGCACAGTGATTGGTTGAGGGGTGGAGACATATCAGCAGCTCAGCTCATACTGATCTCTTATTGGCTAAGCTGCATACATCCACTCCTTTCAATAATGAAGACTTTATATAAAAAGGTGGCGTGGATTAGGGGCCCAGAGTTAGGTCGAAAAGGAGAAAACATTTGAGTACTTTAGCAAAAGTAAAAAGAATATGAGTCCAAACTCTATCAAATGCACTTAAAGAAAACTTGTCTTTTTACAATTATTTGTAACATTGAAATATTTCATTATTTAATTACATTTTCAGCCTCTCCATTACCCATTCCAGTGGTGAGATGGTGTCCTGATCGAACCTGAATGTAATAGATAATATGTGGGGTAAAATCTGACCGCCATTTTGGAGTCAGGAACGTTTTTTCCCAATTTGCTGCACAAGTGGAAATCACTATCACTTCAAATTATGTTTTTCACCTTCATTTTAATCAGCTGAATAAAAATTATAACGAGAATGCTGTCTAGACAACAGTGTATGGACTTGGTTCCGCCAAAACCAAAGACAAAATCAGAATGTCCAGCACAAGACTTCCATTTAGCTGATCATTTAATAAGGTAGCAAATGGAAAGGTGACATTTCATCCAAACAAGGCCTTTACCAAACCTCATAAGGCCTTGTGTGGCAGAAACATCGCCTTTCAGTTTGGCCCCTTAATAAAATAATCATGGAACTGGTTTGTGTTGGACATTGTGGCTTTTTTTTTTTTTTAAATCAACAGCAGAAACATAGGTTTTTGTACATCGAAACTTGATGGCATTGAGTATTTTTATCATTCTAAATTACTATATAACCATTAAAAAATGGTTAAAACACTTATGAAATAAGAACATTATTACCATTTGCCCCTAGAAAGACGTTTGTGTTACTGTGGTTCATGTGTTGGGCTGGCTTCCAATTGGAATTGTCAAATCGTCCTTTTATAGTTCTGATATGAACCCTTTTGATATCAATGCCAATTCAAGCCATTGGCGATTTTCCACTGTAACAAGGTTTCAGCCCTTACTCAATGCCCTCTTCAAACTGGAACATTGTGTTTGCTGAAGCCTTTAATCTGCATTTCATACTGGAGGCGCATTTCACCTGGAGAACGCAACAGGAAGATCAATAAAAATGGGGCTGCTGGAAACACGAGGGTAATTTGCCCTGACGTAAATTAGTAAACTAAATAAAGCTACATTGATTAACAGAGTGTAAATAAAAATGGCTATAAAAGACATGGCTTAAAAAAGGAGCTGTCCACATCCTAGGTTTCTAATCGTATGTTTACTTGTTCCTGTTTTTAACAAACATGTATTTGTGAGATGTGAAAAGCAAAATGAAATGTAGAAACCCACACCTTTTTATCCTGTCGCTGGGTGCCACCATCTTAGCTCCCTGCCAATCATTGTTTTGAGTTCTGTCCTTTGCACTTGGCATACGGAGAAGAAGAGACATTTACCAATGTTTATATTTGTACGTTTAAATGACAGTTGTCGCCACAAAACTATTTTAATATAATAATCATTTTGAAAGGGTGCCATTTTTAAAATTCGGTGTATATATTAAAACAAAATGAGAACAATTCATCCCTACAGTATCCTTCATCCTTATATATGTCCCTTGAGTCAGACAGAGTTTGGAAATAGTTGGACTCTATGGTCATCCCAGCATCAGTCCCGGCACAGAGTCCTTGAAGACCATAGAGACTACCTGTTGGGTCAAATACTGTCTGACCCAAGATGCATGTATATGGCTGAAGGATCGTATCTTATAGGGAATGTTTACATATCCTTCATTAAAAAAAATACCAATGTACTTTCAAAATATACTACAATAGTTTTGAAGACACGCCTGTCCTCTAATTTTAAAGTACTTTTGTCTTGTCAGAACTGAATTATGATGTTGTTAAATCTTTAATGTAAATTTAAAAGAAAATAGAGTATTTCATTAAAAAAAAAGGTTAACGCAAGTTATAGATCATTTTCAATGTCCTATTCAATAATATATATTCCAGATAAGTTACTTTCAACCTGTATAACTATAATTATTATTGAGCCGTAAATGTAGCCGTGCATGTTAAACCACCTGCTTGTTTGAAAATACTTCTGTTCAGAGTACTGCACCACATCTTAAAAAAATCTTTCAAAAAAATGAACATCCCTTTTTTTGGGAATCACTGCAAACGCGTAGGGACATAGAAACCATTAGAAACCTATTTGATCTCTGGCTAATTTTATTTTTGCAATTGCAATGAGGAATCGTTTGTTGTGTGTCTGGTGGATTGTATATTGACATAGCTTTCCTCGTTATTACAGCATGATTAATGCAGACTTCTGCACCGGGGCTGTCCTCATCTCCTTTGGAGCCGTTTTAGGAAAGACCAGTCCTGTGCAGCTGATTGTGATGACCCTGTTTGAAGTTACCCTTTTTGGTATTAACGAGTTCATCATTCTTAGTATTCTTGGGGTAAGTATTCACGTGATGTGTTGGATATTCAAACCTTTGGTATTAAATGTACAAATCACAAGAATATCATATACGACATCTTTTTGAACAAACTTACTCTGAGACCCTTCCCAAGTTCCATATCTTTCAATTCTTGCACCTTATTGTAAACTCTGCTGATGATTTTGATTTTTTTTTTTGTTTCCTTTCTCCAGGCAAAGGATGCCGGTGGTTCCATGACCATTCACACTTTTGGTGCATATTTTGGACTTGTTGTGTCCCGGGTTCTTTACAGACCTCAGCTGGAAAAGAGTCGAGCCAGGGAGGGCTCTATTTACCACTCAGATCTCTTTGCCATGATCGGTTAAGTAACTATAATAAAGAATAGTATTAAAATGTGCGCGATTGGATGCCAGCCAGGGATCTATGTTCACAAACACATTAGATCATAATTATAGTTTGAGATTTGCTTTCTAAAGCTTGATATTTGTTTGGTCACTCTTTGTAGTGTTCGGACCACCCCTCATAGTGGAATGGGGTAGGAAAAACGTTAAATAATTATTAAACTGGAGGAGAGATTTTTTTCCTTTCTTCTAAAGAGTGGGCATTATATGTAATTTATACCTTGCTAATCTACTAATGCAAATTAAATGTATTTCTTCTTCAAATAATGAGGATCTGTTGCTTTTTCACATGTAGGAACGATATACCTTTGGATGTTTTGGCCAAGTTTTAACTCAGCTGTCACCGCTCATGGGGACGACCAACACCGCACTGTGCTAAACACCTACTACTCTTTAGCTGCCTGCACGTTGGCTACCTTTGCTCTATCGTCAATGTTAAACGGAGAAGGCAAACTTGATATGGTAAGGAGACTATACCTCTTCTTGGTAGATCTGTTGGTCTACCCAAAGCTGGCAAGCAGGGAGAGGACTAGTCAAGAAAGAACAAGGAAAATATTAGAATTTTGCATGGTTGACCTTTGATATTTTCCTTGGAATTTCTGATGCTTGTTCATGCGACCGTTCAGCCAAATATTGTCCATGAGAAAACATTCAAGGAAACATTTGGACAAACCAACAAGGGTCAATCATTGTACTGCAAAATATACATGTAATAGAAATATTATGTATATATTTTGCAGTACACTGATAGGTGCATTTTCCCACCCTTTGGTTCAAAGGTCAAGTGAGAAATAGTAACTAATTGTGGGAAACAGAGGAGGAGCAGGAAAAAAACAACTATATATGTTATATATTATATAATTTCTCAAATGTATAATATACCGTATAAAAAAGAAATATAGAGATTTTTTCCCCACTGTTCCTTGCTCCTTCGTCTTGCTGGAAGAGCATCGAAAATGGTAATCTCTACGTATACACTGTCTTCACCTTTGTTCTTATTGACCCAAGAAACAAAGTCCGAAAGAAAACCAAGCTACAAACCTGAAAACACAAGGTTTGGAATAGTCCGTACACTAAAAACACACAGCTAACTATTGGTTTCTAGATGTAAGCTAGATTTTAGCTGAAGTGCTGATTAGGCAAAGCAGGTTAACAAGAAATATAGTACTATAGTCTCCACTTAATTAGCTTTTAAAAGCTCTTGCATCACTTGACAAATATTTTTTAAACCAGCCGGCAAACACTTTTAAACAAATATACAAACCAAATGTGATCACATCTTAGAAAAGAGTGCTAATGTTATAAATGGAGATTTAATGTTTGAAATGGAGTTATTGAGCCAGTTCCATGAAATTCTGTGCCCACAGGTTCATATCCAGAATGCAGCGCTGGCAGGTGGTGTCGCTGTGGGTACGTCAGCCGAGATGATGTTGACTCCCTTCGGTGCTATGATTGCTGGATGTCTCGCTGGCATTATCTCAGTCCTAGGATACAAATTTTTAACGGTTTGTTACTGTTTTAATGACTCTCCTCAATACTAGGATCTTGTCTTTGTCTTGTCCTTTTTAGCCCAATATCTACACGTAGGAAGGAAATATACAAATGAAATACATCAATTTTAATCATTTTTTTTTTTATTGGCATACATATTCACCTGCTGTTATTAAAAAATGCTAAAGAAAGAAAGAATTTTGGAAGCAGATGTCTTCTAAGGTATGGTGGACAACTTATCCACTACCTTGCTGGTAGTGTGCCTTTCTTACATATTAAGATGTTACATTATACTGCATTACACCTAGATTTTTAATTGCTGAAAGAAACCATGATCCCCAGCCAATGTGCCCACCAGACACTACCTTATAGTCCCCATGGATGCCCAGCATACGCAGCTTAGCTGGTGCTGGTGCTGGTAGACAATTTCTTTATATATAACTTTCTAGAATGTGATACTCATAATAACCAGTCATGTGGCATTTACCTACTCCATGTCTATCGGGTCCATGGAGGCTCAAGAACTTCTTATGCCCTGCAATGACAGTTTTGCCTACAGAGCTTGTGGGTCAAGCAGGAGATCTGTAACCAGTGGCTTTCTCTCAGCCATCTAGAACAGACAGAGGCAAGAATACAAGGTATAATTATGTGCCACCTCTTCCTGAAGCCCTATGTTGCTATCAAATCAGGGAATAGATACCTGTAACCATACTGTAGATTAAAATCCAACTTTGATACAAATTATTATTATTATTTTATTATTTATATAGTGCCAGCAAATTACATAGCACTGTACAATGGGTGGACTAACAGACACGTAATTGTAACCAGACAAATGAACGCACAGGAACAGAGGGGTTGAGGGCCCTGCTCAATGAGAATGAGAAGATGCTGTTGATGACCAACAGTGTCAAAGGCAGCAGAAAGATCAAGGAGAATTAGGATAGTGTAATGGCCGTGAAATTTAACAGCGACTAAATAATTGGATACTTTGGTCACAGCTGTTTCAACAGAGTGACGAGTGCGTAATCCAGACTGAAGCTGGTCAAGCAGAGAGTTGGATTCGAGGAATCCTGTCAATCTTGCATACACAACTCTCTCAAGGATCTTGGAGGCAAATGGCAGTAGCAATATAGGGCGGTAGTTGGATGGGGAGTTGGGGTCAAGGTTGGGCTTTTTTATAATCAGCATTATGGTTGCATGCTTGAAGGGTGAAGGAAATGTGCCAGAGGAAAGGGAGAGATTGAAAATTTTAGTGAGAAGAAAAGCAAGAGCGGGAGACCGAGTGCAGATGAGATATGAGGGAATATGATCGAGGGAATAGGTGGTGGGGCGGGAGGACCGGAGCAGAGCAGAAACCTCTTCTTTTGTAGTAGGTGCAAATGAGTATAGAACAGCAGAGGGAGTGGGGTTGGGTGATGTATTGAAAGGGGAGGAAGAGAGGTTAGAGATCTCTTTCCTGATTATAGAAATCTTCTCAGTGAAGTGAGTTGCAAAGTTTGAGGTGGACAGGGTGGTAGGAGGAGGGGGAGAAACAGGGCGAAGCAGAGCATTAAAAGTGTGAAATAGTTGTTTGGGTTTGCGAGAGAGTGTAGTTATGAGGGTATGGAAGTAATTTACTTCTGCAGAGGAAAGAGCCAGAGTGTAGGAGCGCAGTATAAATTTATAGTGGAGGAAGCCAAGTGCAGAGTGAGACTTTCTCCAACCGCATTCAACAGTTCTGGAGATATCAGGTCAGCTTGGTGTGCCAGTGTTGTAATTGGGAATACTTGCTGCGTTTAACTGTAGGAGGTGCCATGATGACAAGCTGAGAGGAGAGAGTGAAGTTGTAGAGTGAGGTTGCAGAGTTAGGGCAAGTGAGATTTGAGATGGGTAAAAGGAGAGTTTGGAGTTTGGTGGAGAAATGCTGGAGATCCAGGCAGTGGAGGTTTCTGTCAGACTGGAGAGTTGAGGGTGGTGAAATTTGGGTACGGGATATGCTGATGTCAAAGGTTAGCAGATGGTGGTCAGATAGAGGAAATGGAACAGTGGAGAGATTGGAGGTGGTACAGAGATTGGTGAAGATGAGGTGAAGAGTATTTCCTGCTGTATGAGTTGCTGAAGTAGACCACTGTGTGAGGCTGAAGGAGGAGGTTACAGAGAGCAGATGGGAGGCACCAGGGCAGTTGAGGTTGTTGATTGGGATGTTAAAGTCCCCAAGTATGAGGGAAGGAGTGCTAGAGGAGAGAAAGTGGGGTAGCCAGGAAGAAAAGTGTTCAGTGAATAGCCTGTAATGACAAGGGGGGAGGGGCGATAGGTGATGGCAAAATTGTTAAAGAAGTGGGCTTAAATATGCGGACAGTGTGAACTTCAAAGGAAGTAAAGGATAGTGCAGGGGCAGGGAGGATAGGTTGAAATGTTCATTGAGGGGAGAGAAGGATGCCTACACAGCCGCCTTTACAGTGGAGTCTGGGAGTGTGGGAAGTTTACAGCGATTCTCAATTGACCTTACATTTGTTTTACTCTCTCATGCAGCCAGTGCTGGACTCCAAGCTAAAAATTCAAGACACGTGCGGGGTACACAACCTCCATGGAATGCCAGGGATCCTGGGGGCACTTATCGGTGTGATTGTAGCAGCTGCTGCCACCGCAGATATTTATGGATTAGGGTAAGTGAACTTCAAAATCGATATTTTCAGCAGACACTCTTTGCCCTCGTGAGACTTAAAACTTCATCTTCTGAATTGACTTATCTAAGAATTATTTTGAGGTAACCAAGTTCCCCTGTTTTTTTTTTCCCAGCATGGAAGACGTATTCCCCCTAATTTATGATGGTACCCGAACATCTAAGTCCCAAGCTGTTTACCAATTACTGGCCTTGCTAGTGGCTTTGGCTTTTGCTCTGATTGGTGGCATAATTGTAGGTAAGTTGCCACCACATACATAACTGAACAAGTCGACACAAAACTATTGTAATATAATTAGAATATAAAATTAATGCTTATTGGATTTAGTTTAAATCTTGTATACAATTCCTTGCTTCTACGCTAGATTTAAAAAAAAAATTTGTTTGCAATCATCCTTCGTCTGTTCCTTACATGCCAGTATGGCTTTGCATATTTGATTTGACATATTTTGATTTTTACATTTGCCAACCGTTTGGCTAACAGAATGCCGTGCCCTGTGAAATACCACCATTTTCCACATATCTACCAAAGGCCTACTTTATATAGAGAGATTGTAACTATGGTTCATGAGTGCAGAGCAAGAGAATTGTGTAGTATCTGATGCACATGAACGTTTGCTATATAGTTTCAAACTTGTTTGTGATTTAATATCCCCTGTCACTAGTAAGATTTATGGAAAATGCTACTCCAATTTAGATCCGCGCATTCGTGGCTGGGCCATATGGGCAGTTGGGGCAGCGTCCCCCCAGTTTTTGTTACAAAAAAAATAAATAAAAGATATCAAATTTTTTGTAAGGACTAAGTGTGTTAGAAAAATCATGTTATTTCCTGGATGCACTAATAGACCGCCGTATGCACTGCCATGTTGTTTGGTAACAGCATTAGGGGTGTAGTTGAACCTTTTAAAGTGGTTGTTTCAAAAATAAATGAATCTATGGATTCATGGTGTTTAACAGGGCATAATGTCTCATTGGCTCAGTTGAGTACATGGGGCTCAGTTGATAGAGACCAATAAGTCGGGGGCAGTACCCCACCAGCTTCATTATTCATCACTGGACCAAACAATCCGTGGACTCCTCAAAGTAATCTTTTTTTCTATTCTCACATCGAGGAGCATATGATTCCACTTTTTGTATGTTATTTATATATTCATATACAGAACCACGAATCGTTGTATTTCTTTTTGCACATTTAATGTCAAAATGTAAAACCTTGAATGGCTTACATGTAATTGCTGGGCGTGCCTTTGACCTTTGTAGATCAGAAATCAAATTGGAAATTCGATATAAGCACAAACTCTTTTTCTGACAGCAGAGGGCACTACATCCCAAGCTAAAAATGTACGGTTTCAATTAAAATAGTTAAAAAGATCTTTATAGATATTTATTAGAGTTATCGATAGTACTATTTCAGTTATATTTTTACAGAGTACCAGGTATTGAATTCTAACAAAATACACATTTTTAAGTATCTTGTCGAAGATGTATGTATGAAGTATTTGAGTTAGGGGTTAGGTTTTCAGTGTTTTCTTAAAGCTTTGTTTTTAGTTTGACAAGTTAAACCATAGTTGTCACGCTTCAGTAAAATTGTGAAGCTGTACTTCTGCAAATATTTAACTGTCACCCTCATTGTAAAAAAAAAAAAGAGTGCGGACAGATTTTTAAAACATTTTTTTTTTAAATAGTCCGAATTCCTAGTTCCTCCTCGACGTGTTCAGTCTGGTGGTGAACTTTAAAGGTCACAAACGTTTTCACTATTGAGGCCCTGGCAAAACTTTGGTGAAGAGAATCCCTCTATAGCAGATTGCATAATTTGTTTCCAATTCTGCTCAGAGAAAAAATGCTTATATTTTTTATAGTTGGATCAATACGTATTACATGTTGTGACCATTATTTCAGCGGGCCGGTAAAGTTGTAGAAGTAGAAGAACCTCGTAAAAAAAATCTTTTTAGTTAAGTGTAAGTTCACTAATAATAAGTGGAAAAGTGCACACGAGTATATTACTAATACAGTTCTTAAATTCAGAATGCTGTTCCTTTAATAAATAATTTTAAAGTGCCACACGTAACAATTCAATAAAGTGTGATTGTTCAACAAAGTGCTCCTTGACAAAAGTGCAGAAACTATAAATAGTGCAAGCATCCATCGCTAACAATTCTAAATAATTCCAGTTTATTTATAAGGTGCACAAAATCAAATAGTTCTACAGATTTCGTCCACCTAAACCTATGTTTGTTCTCCTAATTTAACCCCTTAAAGACACATGACAGAAATATTCCGTCATGATTCCCTTTTATTCCAGAGGTTGTGTCCTTAAAGGACCATTATAGGCACCCAGACCACTTCAGCTTAATGAAGTGGTCTGGGTGCCTGGTCCAGCTAGGATTAACCCTTTTTTTTTTTTTTTTTAAACATAGCAGTTTCAGAGAAACTGCTATGTTTATAAATGGATTAATCCAGCCTCTAGTGGCTGTCTCTTGACAGCCGCTAGAGGCGCTTGCGTGCTTCTCACTGTGAAAATCATTCAAAATTATGAATGCTTTCCTATGAGACTGGCTGAATGCGCGCAGCTCCTGCCGCGCATGCGCATTCAGCCGAAGAGGAGGAGAGGAGGAAGAGAGCTCCCCGCCCGGTGCTGGAGAAAGAGGTAAGTTTAACCCCTTCTTCTCCCCAGAGCCCGGCGGGAGAGGGACCGTGAGGGTGGGGGCACCCTCAAGGCACAAGTATGTTTTCCTGACACTATAGTGGTCCTTTAAGAGGAAAAAAACATGCATAAAGGTCTTGCATTCATTAGGGGGAAATAATTGCATCTCAGAATCCACAAGACATTTAGAAACCACACGACCTTCTCCTGTGTTTTCTCCAAAACCCAACACTGGCATTATTATATCCTAATACACGCTTCACCATTATGTATACTATATATATACACACACACGTTCTCTATCTATTTCATTATAAGTAATAGTTTATTTTATTTTTTTTGTAACGCATTTGCGAATCACAGACAATTATATATCCGTATTAAACGTTGGCAAAGACAACGCATTGAACGATGTGATATTTATGCGAAAGAATTAGCAATTGAATCAATGATGCTACAATGTAGGTGGTTTTCTTTCTTTTTTTTTCTCTGTTTTGTGTTTTTGTTTCTTCAGCTTCTGGGTGTTTATTACCGTATAACCGTATCACAATTATCTCGGTTTATTTCTCGCAGGCTTCATTTTGACGATTCCCATCTTTGGTGCGCCATCTGACGCTCAATGTTTCGAGGATGCCATATACTGGGAGGTAGGATTACAAACACGCATAGAAAATATATGAGACATCAGACGGTTTTCAGGGAGACCGATATGTATTTAGGCCCCAAATAAATTTTATTTGTCTCAACCAAACCCACTGTGGTACAGTCAATATCCAAAAATTGTCACAAAGTAATAGCATGATTCTGCTCTTTTCAGTACGTCCCGGGATATTTACTGTACTGTACTTTGGCATAATGTTACATAATTATTATTATTATTATCATTTATATAGCGCCAACAGATTCCGTAGCGCTTTAGAATATTTTGAGAGGGGGGATGTAACAATAAATAGGACAATTACAAACAGAATGAAAACTGTGAAGAGTCATATCTATAAAGGAACCACAGCAACATCTCAGTCTTATTTATTCTTATATGTAGTGAATGTCCAATATAAACCAATGGATGAGTCCTACTGTAGGAGAGGTTTCATAATGTGCCTCTCTCTTGAGGTGATACTGTGGCATCTGAGATTATATGACACAAATAAAGGCAAAAGTTTTGCATGATACTTTTAGCAGAGGCACTTGAAATAGCTCTTCACATTTGAATTGCATTGTAAAATTCAATAATTTAAAAGTGGCTATATGCTCAAGATCCAAAGTTGGCCCAAAGTTGCTTCAAACATTGTCAAATCATCTGTTTATTGGGGGGTTTTTTTTTGTTTGTTTTTTTATAGGTACCCGGTGAAGAAGGCCATCAACAAATGATTGCTGTCAATACAGAAGATCCAGACCAACAGACAAATGCATAATCCAAAATGGCTTAAAATAACCCAAGGGTGATTCTTCTTGGCGATTCTTCTGGGGCTTTCAACAGTAGCGTCTCTATATTCTGGTGCCAAACTAACCCTTAAATGTGAACCCCTAAGTATTAACTGTTAACACCTACCAAGGAACATTCCATTAGAGGAGAACTCTAGATTTAAAAAAAAAAACAAAAACAACTTGCACCCATTACGGTGCACTGGGCGGAACAAAAATCTCAATGTGTCTGTGTTATTCTACTATACTTTTTAAAATCTTAAGCTTCTATGGTCCAAGCTATTAGTATTTTTTTGTTGTTGAAAGGACTGCACGTTGTCTTCCTTTGTATTGTAAAATTGTTTACATTTTCAAAAATATTGCGTTTGTATGATGGGCTTAGGGCAGCCTAAAGGCTGCTTTACATTTTTGATCTACGCTGTCCATGTATGTGATTCTTAATGGATTAATCAATTTCTGTCGCCGGTCACTTCTATTTTAAAAAAATATGGAAAATCCATAAGACACTTTGCCAAAGGGGCAAACAGAACACCGTGAACTCTTTGCTTTTGTAGTGCTATGGAGCTTTGCAGAACAGGTCTATGAGTGGATTGGTGTAGCATAACATGGGCATTATCTCATTTAATACAACATTTTACAGAACACGAATAAACAGTAATCAGGGAAGAATGGTTCACAAAGGACCAAGCTGACCTGAGATATATACTGAGATATCATTTTGTAGGACTATCCTCTCAAGGCCCATTTGGCCTTTCTCGGAGTGGAGGAGGTGAACTGATGAACTCCTTAGCATTTGTGTGATCGTAAAGGGAAACGTGTTTTAGCAATTACACAAATATGATCAAGTTGGTGAAGTTTCTTACTAGTAAACCAAAACGTGTGAGAACGACCTTGAACCAAGGACTATTGTTAAAACACTGAGGCAATGAACAGGTGTGAGGAGAAAGGAATGTTAGAAGTATTTCTTGTATTTGAATGTCTGGTTTCAGAATAACTGCTCCCAAGTTCCATTCTGAAGTTTTTATTAGAATGCGGTCGGAGGATAAATTGAGCAGTATTGCAAGGACACAGCAGTCCATCAAAATAACACAAAAGGGTATTTATTTTGGAAACATAGTAGCCAAATACATTACACCTTAACATACAACTACAAACCCAGCAGGCGTGATAGAAAAAGGATAAATTTACAATGCTATATTTCATCCATTGCCATAGATGATAATGTGGTCTATTCAGGAATAAGGCTCGATGCAAGTGTACTCACAAAGTTATAACTTTGCTCGGAATTCGGGGTGAGCTGACCATCGTTATCTTGATTGTTCACTAACGTAACACCTGGTGCAACTAAGGTTACAGAAGATCCCCCTAGTTGTATTTCATTAATCACAAGAACTTAATCATGTTCCATTGGAAGTCATCTCCAAGCTTTGGAGTTCATCAGAATTTTGAAGGAACCCAAGGCGGTCAAAGTTCATTTTTAGGATGTTTAACACTGTAGCAGTAGCTTAGGGTGACAAAATACAAAGGGAATCAAAGTACCGACAGTGAAAAAGCAGAGTCATGCTTATAGACAATGAAGACTCTGCTTGGTAGAACTTGGCTGTCCCCTGGGCAACTTGGTGAAAACGTTTAATTGATGTATACGTTTACGTTCTGCACACACTGCCCACGGCTACCAGATATTTCCTATCAACAATATGGGTGTCATAAATGAAGTATTAAAGTGTAGATCTTGGAGTCATTTAGACTAATATTGTCACAGTTATCTATGTTATAATGCTCCTATACCTTCCAAATATAATTTAAAAAAAATAATAATAATTTTTAACTCATATTTTAAACTTACTTTTCATCGTGTTGAATAAAAAATAAACATGTTGCTTTATATTTACATTACCTCATTATCACTGTCATTAACCTTTTTTTATAATGATTTTATGAATTAAGTATATATAACCATCGTGGAGACAATTATGCACCCAGAAATGAACAATTTTAAAAATTCAATTAAAACACGACAAGAGAGAAACCGTTTTATACAAATTTACTGTGAAGCTTAAAGCTCCTCCTCTTTTATGGAGCACGTTGATGATTTAAAATATTTTACAAACCGGACGAGATTTTATTAAGCAGTGTACAATGTTGTCATTGTCATTACCCAGACTCCTCCGGGTGCTGAAATATCACATTAGATCTCTTGAAGTATTTTATGCATGTAACTTTAACAATCTAAACTTTTGTACATTTTTCATTTACCCCAAAACTAAACCGTGCGTTTTTGTTGTTTTATTGTTCACGATTTTGAGATTTTTATTTTTTTATTTGTTAGTTTATTTGAATATTTTTTTTTTTTTGTTAAGTACAAACTGTGCATATATGAAATGGCATACCTATCAATAGAAATAAATACCTGTACACTATTGGCTGGTTCTGTGAAAGTGTCACAATTATTTCATAAAAAAATTTAAAAAAATAAAACGGAATCAAGAAAGAAATATTTAATTATTAGGAAAAGAGCTTTCAGCTCTCCTGTATACCATGATGGAGGTGGGGAGCAGCGCCAAGAGGACCCCCAGGTACGTAGGCAATTCTCAGCCCTCCTCGCAGCATAAACACTACATCAAGCTGTAGTGATTATGGTGCTTGGACAGATCCTTTAACTCTACCTGATCACCCTTCCGGAGGAGAAACATGGCATACTTTAACATATTATCATATATATTTACATAGGAATCCCAGACCCTCCCCTTTCCCTCACAAATCTAACTCAAGTGATAGAATTGTGTGATTTATCAAACTATACAACAATGTAAAAAAGACAGTCACCAGCGAGATGCTGCTATTGGGCTCACTGGTTTCCATGGTGATTTTAGAACACTTTTTCGACCATAACCCTTTTAATAGATATTCAATAAATTGAGAACTTAGAAATTCAAAGTGAGATTTGAAGCTGTAGCGGACCGTTTTGCACGTTTAGACGAGCAGCTACTGCAATCACCAATCTCCCAAACTGCAAACACATGAAAACTCCAACTCCCGAACAGGAAACAAACGAATGCTGTAAACAGCCGAACAGGAAAAACCATACGAACAGTTTACACTCCTGGCAGTCGCACTGTAACAGCATACAATCCAATTCCCCCCCAAGAATGAGACAACACTTTGTTTGAGGGTCAAGCAGAACTGATTTACTGGGGCTACCTGCCCGGCTTTTATGGAGGTCTCCCACCTGGTGGACACTCCCCTAGGGGACCAGATGGAAGACTGGGAAACATATTGGACATTGACCAATCACAAGCTTACAATCCCACAATGCATCACAATCCCTCCTCTCTGTCCTGGAGATAATTGGGAAGTAATCCAATTATCTCCAAGGACAGAGGCAAAACTCCATTAACCACATGGCAGACAAAGGACAATAAAAGACATAAAATTACATACTGTTACATTTATCACATAGAACATACACATTCTACCTATCCCCAGATAGCTAAGATCTGAGCGCACATTATTACCGGATGGCGCTCAGATACAGTTCAATCGCCATGGAGCCAAAGTCTTTCAGTATACGGCTGGGCTCCATAGCTATCTGGGGTAGCATGGTTTAAACAGTAAAGTACCGAATGGACCGGTGTTCGGATAATTGACTGCAGGTAGGAGAAGGGAGGTCGGCGGCTCAGCGGTGTTCGTGACTTTAACAGTCCGCAGAAAGGCACAACCAGCCTTTCTGCAGGGAAAAAGGACAGTGTTAAACATGGGGCCATAGTCCAGGCAAGAGGCAGGCGACCAGGCTCCTCCAGTGGCCAGTGGCGAGGTTGGTTCCGCCACAGAAGCATGGCTGACTTTATTCCAGTACAGATATTTTTGAGTTAAAGTTGAAATTCACATTGAATTCCCAATAATTCTTACTTTAGTGAATAACATTTTAAGATAAATAAGATAAATAAATATGTATATATAAGATGGGTTTTCATTTCACAAAGCAAATAAAAAGTATCACTCATAATTCAAACATATTAGGTCTATAGATTGCCAAAATGGAAGCTATTTAGGGGACAATATGGCAGGTTTTTTTTGTAGGATCATTATTACATGCACTTTGTAAACAGGAAACAACTACAAATCAGAGCAGGAAGTGACATATACTGGTAAAACGGCAAAACCCTTCAACTGAAAGTCTAAACGCTATGGATTATACTATAAAAAAAATAAAAAAAACAAGAGCAATATTTGTTATGTAAACCATATGCCAGGCTATGAGTTAACAGCCAAGGAAGATCATGCTAAAAAAAGTAAATAAAGTCTGCAAACATTGTGAACCAAGGTGTACAGGTACATCTCTTATATACCTCAAAATGATCCAATTTGCCCAATGAGCAGCACAAACAAAGTAGTCTTGTATGGAACTAAAAGAGCAGAATGTATCATATAGTGCAGATTGTCTGGACCTCATACGTAAGGGAGAATAGCTCAGAAACATATAATAGAGAGCCATGGCCAGGTTGTATAATATAAGCATGAGGTTGGCACGCATTCACACCAGGTTGACTTGCCAATTCTTCGGGCTGACACCCACCCTGTTACGGACTGTTCTGCCCCTTTGGACAGTGCGAGTGATGTAGCTCACATCACTGGTCTGCCCCTTTTCTACCACGGCCTCTCACGTCCTGCTTCACGGAACGCCAGCGATGGGAGTATGTTGTTGGCTTAGTAAATGAAACTTACAAAAAGTGTATTTATTAACAAAGTCACTAAGAACATAATTACAGTGTGCTAAGGAGTCTAATTAACATGGTGCCAAATCAATGAGAAGCATAAAACAATAGATAGGATATATGATTAGTCTTAACACTAGCCACCACCCTAAACGAAATAGAATATAAACAACAATATCCCATATCCGTGACATATCTGATCTTTACTGTTTATTTTCTTTCTTGTAATGTTTGGAGTGTAGACTAGAAGGAGTTTATGTCTGTCTTCAGGTGCAGGAATACCTGGTATCAACCTCTGCCCGACCTGACGCCCTTTGGAACTGTGTCTGCTGGGTTCCTGTAGTAATTTGAGTATACATTCAAGGGTCACTTTTAGCTAGGCCTTCATAATAATGGATAGGATCCACATTGCCCTCAGAGCAGCTTGAATTATTCATACCAGGATTCAATAAGGTTTCTGGTCTACGTTGACATGTTCCCAGCATGTTCGTTAGTTGCACATTTATTTTGAAAATCTTCAGTTCCACCACATCCCACATCCCAGAGCTGGTCTGTTGGACTTAAACCTTGTGACTGCAGAGACCTTTGGAGAACACCGAGCTTGTGGTCATGTTTATGGAACCAGCTTAAGATGACATGTGATTAGTGACATTATCCTTCTGGACCTGAACTTTAGACACAATAGACTGTGGCAATAAACTGATTCACATGGTCCACAACAATGCTTGACTCGTGACATGATGTCTATTAGGTATTAAGGGGACTTATGTGTGCCAACAAACAATACCCCCAACTTGAACCATTGACACAAAGCAGATCAGATCCATGGATTTGTGTTGTTTACAACAAATTATGACCCTACCTTGAACATTTTAAAGCAGAAATTAAGATTTGTCAGGTGAGGTGACAATTGTTTATTTTTCAAATATCACGTTTTGATGTGCTTCTACCCACTTTAGCCTAAGTTTCATGTTGTTAGCTGACAGGAGTAGAGACGGTGAGAGATTTTGCTAGCTTTTTTCCGCCTGTTGAATATTTAATTGTTGAATATGTAACTAAAAAGTTAAAGAAAGTTCTTGCAACTCTGACATTTATTCAGCATTCATATATAAAACAAAACAGCACAAACTGTCACTAACTATGGAATCCATTTTTTATTTTGTATATTATTTTTGTAGAATTACACTTTTTCTCTAATGAATAATATAAATTAACTTAGATCGTCTCTGAAAACCTAATACATGCTATCATTTTCTGTAACTTACTAGGAGTGTTGTACTCTTGGCAATTCAATATGTACTGTAAAGCCAAAAATAAACAATTACCTCTTGTGCTACAAGACATTCATTCTGCTTCTACCACTAGATGGCGATCTAATAAAGGGATTGTTCGGAAAGTATTAATCTCAATAAAGGCATAGCATATAACTGTATTGTATTAAGTATTGAATGATATTTAAAGGTACAGCTTATTTAAAACTCAAAATATGAATCAGTCAATTGATTTTGGAAAGAGATGAACACACGGAGTTAGAAAGAATATTTGTGATGTAGATATAGTAATTTGCAGGTGTTTGTTCCTATTGCTGAGCAAAAGTTATACTAAAAGTCTAATTCCAATTTTTAATTTATAAGCTTCAAAAGTCATGGAAAAGCGGGCAGTGGGCACTGATCAATGCAGAGCTGCCCAGCTGTATGAAGAATTCATATGCTGCAGAGGACAACACACTACAGTTCAGAACTCTTAACTTGTAGTCCATCGGTTTACAAAAAAAAAAAAAAAAAGAATGTCTCTGAATATACGGTGGGTCATTCAAACCATTTCCAAAGGTACTTCCAGTAAAATTAGGTGAATATAATTCTTTAAGGTTTATGGTCAGTGATTAAGTGGAAGCTTCAGCCAAAGATTTAGCAGTATTTTATAATGTGCTGTCAGTTCTCGGTGGTGTTTCTCCCTTTTATTCCAGAAGTTGTGTCCTTAAGGGGTTAATATGAGCAGTTACTGTATCAATATATGTATGAACAGAACCAGCTGTTAAATGCAGGGAGAAGCCATCTTGCTTTTCTAGCAGACTATAGCCTGTGTTTCTTGCGTTCTACTGTCAAGCGTATCTGTATGTTTGAATAACAAGTCAGGTAGCACGGGGTTATTGACAGATCGACACTTGATCAGGAAGGTGCAATTTTTTAAACCAGAGTAGTTGAATCGATTTCCAATTGTAGTAAATAAGCCCATCAGTGATATATCTAGGGACGCTTTGTGATGTGCGAATGGATATCTTATTAAAAAAAGAGACTTAGCACCGACTTTGTTGCCTCCTAAACTCAAAGGGTTTCTTCACAAATTACTAGATTTCACGATTTTTCCAAATTTTGGGCAATCGGGTTTCACCTGAATTTTCGCAATTCGAGCCTTTTTGTTTGTTTTGTGATTCAGAGTTCTGTATGTGGTTCCAGAAAATGGTAGAGAAGCTAATTTTTTTCCCGCAGGACAGTAATTTTGCGCCAATTTGATTCAACTGAAATGTTTTTCCCAAAATGATTGCATGGGAAATTCCTTCAAGCCGAAATGCCACATGGGCAAAATTCGGTCCAACCTAACCAAAGGTTTTTCTTTTTTGTGGGACAAATCCATTTGGACACAGCACATTTTTTTGCCCTGTACACATTTTAACATGTATAGCTTGGGGGAAAGACGAGACAGGGGGGATATGATAGAAACATTTAAATACATAAAGGGAATCAACACAGTAAAGGAGGAGACTATATTTAAAAGAAGAAAAACTACCACAACAACAGGACATAGTCTTAAATTAGAGGGACAAAGGTTTAAAAATAATATCAGGAAGTATTACTTTACTGAGAGGGTAGTGGATGCATGGAATAGCCTTCCAGCTGAAGTGGTAGAGGTTAACACAGTAAAGGAGTTTAAGCATGCGTGGGATAGGCATAAGGCTATCCTAACTATAAGATAAGGCTAGGGACTAATGAAAGTATTTAGAAAATTGGGCAGACTAGATGGGCCGAATGGTTCTTATCTGCCTTCACATTCTATGTTTCTATTTCCCCGACTGTCTATTTCTTTGAGTGACTATTTCCCTGACTGTCTATTCCTCTCAGTGACTATTTCCATGAGGGACTCTTTCTCTGAGTGACTGGTAGTGGATGCATGGAATAGCCTTCCAGCTGAAGTGGTAGAGGTTAACACAGTAAAGGAGTTTAAGCATGCGTGGGATAGGCATAAGGCTATCCTAACTATAAGATAAGGCCAGGGACTAATGAAAGTATTTAGAAAATTGGGCAGACTAGATGGGCCAAAAGGTTCTTATCTGCCGTCACATTCTATGTTTCTATCTCCTAATTAATGAGTTGTGGTGAATTAATAAACACATTGGAAAATTCTATCCAATCCAGCAAAGGTGGGAATGTTTCACATTTCAGCTATTGTAAGGTACACATTGCAATTTGTACCTCTGCTAAAAGAATAAACCCATAGAACAGTGCAGTAATTATAAAATCTGGGGATTTATTCACTAAACTCAAAACTGTAGCAAACTGAAATTCAAATGGAAAAATTTAATTTAAAATATCTGATTTGGTAACGTTCCACATGCTATAGCCACATCATGGTTATTTTAAAGCGACACTATATTCATTCATTCGCTTAATGTACATATAGCCCATCCCTGTGTCCTTATCAATGTAAACGCTGCCCTATGAGAAAAGGCAGTGTTTTCATTACTGCCTAATCCCACCTCTAGTGGCTTTCACTCCCACAGCCACAAGAGGGACTTCCTGGGTCAGTCCAGCAAAAATTGCAGGACCACCATTGACACAATGCATCTCTATGAGAAGATGCAAATTGGCTCTAGGCAGCAATTGTCTGCGCATGCGCACTAGCCTCCCAATACTTTTCTATGGAGTAGCATTTCTATCAGGATTGATTATCTCAGTGGGGGTCAGTCAGAGACTGGTGCTATGGGGAAATAGGGTGAGTAAAACTGATTTTTTTAAATTCGTTTTTGTTGAGCAATAATCTAAGCAGATTCTAGAACACTGTAGCGTTAGGAATTTTGTATTCAAAATGCTATAGTGTTCCTTTAACCTAAATTTTGCAATTCTCCTACAATCAGAATTTAGTGGGAAAAAACTGGCTTGTTTATTTTAGCAACATAACATTCTATCATGTTTGCATGTAAATATTATTTTTTTTAATAAATTAAACATATTTATGGTATTTTCAATGTATTTATTGTGTGTTATCTCTTTACATTTATTTTTAATTCACTGTATGATTGATTCTGGTGTCTAATTAGATTTTAACACCTTCATGGAGAGTGAAGGAGGAATATACTGCAGATTTTCTCTCCCCTCTGTGTGAATGGCGTCTTTTTATGTTTCGGAAAAAAGGGTGATTTCTAAAACGCATCTCAGAACACCCCGGTTTCACCAACAACCTGCTTTATAACCCTTCTGCTGACGGCAAGAGATAAGAGAATTAAGAACAAAAATGTGGATCCAGACTATTTCTACCCCTTGGAGCTTACAATCTACTGAGATAATAGGATATGGAAAGACAGCTGGAACAATATAAGTATTATGATTCTGTGTGTGACCATGAGAAGTAATTACCTTGTTAATAGACTAGCAACAGGCAATATTTAAAGTCATTTCAAGTTGCTGAATTTGGCAGGAATTGTGGCAAAATATTATAAATTTATAGCAAACTGGTTGGTTGGTTTTTAATCATCTCTCAAACTGAAATTTAATAAACTACTAAAAAATAGGTGAACGTAAGAAAACTAATGAGTTACATATATTTATAGAGAAAGGAGGTAGAGAAATGTAAGAAATATAAATATAATATAGCCTTACATTACATTATATCATTACCTATAGTACATTATATTATTAAAGGGACACTCCAGGCATACATACATTATGTTACAGTTAGTTATACTGGATGGGTTTATATTATTAAAGGGACACTCCAGGCTCCCACACACGTTAGATGCACTGTGTAGGTTAGGTTACAGTTAGTTATACTGGGTGGGTTTATATTATTAAAGGGACACTCCAGGCTCCCACACGCGTTAGATGCACTGTGTAGGTTAGGTTACAGTTAGTTATACTGGGTTGGTTTATATTATTAAAAGGACACTCCAGGCTCCCACACACGTTAGGTGCACTGTGTAGGTTTGGTTACAGTTAGTTATACTGGATAGGATTATAGTATTATAAGGACACTCCAGGCTCCCACACATGTTAGGTGCACTGTGTAGGTTAAGTTACAGTTAGTTATACTGGATAGGATTATAGTATTATAAGGACACTCCAGGCTCCCACACATGTTAGGTGCACTGTGTAGGTTAAGTTACAGTTAGTTATACTAGGTGGGTTTATATTATTAAAGGGACACTCCAGGTTCTCACACATGTTAGGCTCACTGTGTAGGTTACAGTTAGTTATACTGGCTGGGTTTATATTATTAAAGGGACACTCCAGGCTCCCACACATTTTAGGTGCACTGTGTAGGTTATGTTACAGTTAGTTATACTGGGTGGGTTTATATTATTAAAGGGACACTCCAGGCTCTCACACATGTTAGGCTCACTGTGTAGGTTATGTTACAGTTAGTTATACTGGGTGGGTTTATATTATTAAAGGGACACTCCAGGCTCCCACACATGTTAGGTGCACTGTGTAGGTTATGTTACAGTTAGTTATACTGGATGGGTTTATATTATTAAAGGGACACTCCAGGCTCCCACACATGTTAGGTGCACTGTGTAGGTTAGGTTACAGTTAGTTATCATTTTTAAGTCGAACTGCAAAATTATTCCTTTGGTGTAACAATTCCAATGAGACATTCCAATAAACCGAAAAAGCTGGATGGGATTATATTATTAAAGGAACACTATAATACATACAGAAATGTAAACTGAATATTTCTATTGATAACTCCCTATTCATGTTTTTATTGGGCAATTTGACCTAAAAAATAACTTAAAATAAAGTGTCAAAGTTTTGAGTCCTTTTTATGTGACAAGTTAGCTGAGCTCAGTGGATGACTTGAGCTTTCCACTACATCCTCAGCAGGACACGTAGAGATAACAAGATTGCGTAAAAGCAACATAAAACAATCTCATGTGCCCAATAAATGCTGCTTCAAGCTCCGCTCTATATATATAGGAGAGAGAAGGTGGCCAGAAACTACCGAAAGATGTCCTATTCTTTATGGATTTAAATTTCAACAAATTATCGAAGCCTTTACATTATATTCCTATTTCTACTGTTGTGGGAACCTCAGGCGCTTTGTCATTTAGGTCAATTCTACCTCAGTTCTGTCAGTATGGGTCACTTTAAGAACATTTGGTTTTCTTAACATTGGCAATTTAAACATATTAGTTTGCACATTGCCCACAGTCTAGCTTTAAATGTCTATCAAGAGACCAGCATTTCTTAGGAAGTTCTACTAAGGCCGAACGTGAACGAAATAATATTGGAAAAATTTTTCTAAATGAAGATGGAAGTAGAACTATGGTGGGGTAAGATGAACAACATATTAACTCTCATATGACTACCAAAGGAATCTTATGGACCTACTACTCATGTGAACCTACAGCCCATGTGCAAAATATAACCTGAAAAGAGAAAAATATGCCTTAGCTCCATCGCATATGGCTATTATTGGTAAGTGGTGAGAGGTCGAAACCTTTTTGAAAAGAGCACTTGTCATCTCACCAAGGTGATTTCGTAAGTACTAGAATGAGGAATGCTATTAACTGATTTGAAAACTCTGGTAAAAAAAAAAAAAAAAGATGAATGCACCTGCTATTGTAAGGTGGACAAGAACCACGTAACTACCTGCAACTTTTTTTTTTCCAGAGCAACTAATAATTACAAAAGGAAAACCTTCATACATTTGATGTCAAGTTATCCAAAGGTCTCTAATCCTAAAGGAGAAGCAGGGTCCATTAAACAAAAATAAAAAGTTCTCATTTCCAAATAATAGATCATTTTCCATCCAGCACGACTGAGGGATTAAAAAAGTAATCCTATCAAAGAACATCTGCTTGCATTGTTAGGTGTTAGTAAAAATAAACAGAACCTTGTCTCCTCATCTAGTCTCCCTTGGTCCTACGAGAGGTGGATCCCAACAGGAAAATGGCCTGTGGTTTTACTCCTGCTGAGGCCTGCAAGGGGAAAAAAAAGAAGATGACGAAAAACAAACTTTACTCGTTGTTGGACAGAAAAGCAATTCATGTATTTTTTTTTGTGTAAGGTCTGTGTCCTCTTTTATTTAAGGCTTTTTTATTCAGGTCTCTGTGGGTTTAAAGGGTGGCCCTCTTTCTCTCTACGAGCCCAAAGGTCACAAGATTGAGAACAAGGTCACAGCTCTGAAAGGACATTCTGGCATTGTCCTGTGTCCTTAGAAGATGTCTCCTTTCAAAAACATTATAAAATAATATGTTACCGCCTCCCCTATAGTCCCATAGGGACAGTATGAAGAGACCCTTTTCTCTCATTAAAGACAGAGATTAACAAGCCTTTACGTATGTACATGACCAGTGAATTAAAGGCCTCTAAACAAACAAGTGCAGTTTATAAGAGAATGTGATTATCTGGAAGGTTTTGTTTGACATGCAATTAAGAGAAATGTTTGTTTTTTTAATAGACTGGCTTTCAATAGAGATGTTTTTTAATTTATTTATTTTTTAAAAATATAATTAATATACAAATGTGCGCATTCTACCTATGTATATTATATTTATCTATCTATAATATATATATATTGAATATAGCGTGAATAGTCAGGAATTTAAAGTAAATTCAGCGTAGATTGTAAGCTCTTCACTTACTGTTCCTGTACGTCATACATGTTTTGTTAGAATTAAGTGTGTGCACAGCTCTGCGGAATATGTTGATGCGATATATAAAAGTGTAATCTCACATTTTAGTTAAAACTTTGTTACATTTGAAAAAAATCTCCAATTCCACTATATTTTAATTTTTGAAATTTTGGCCTATAATTTGATATTCACTTTGATTTTGCTTTGTAGACCAGACAGTTCACACCTTAATGAATAACCCTGACAGGTGGAGGCCAAGCCTCTTTTTAAGTCGCACTGCAAAATGATTCCTTTGGTGTAACAATTCCAATGAGACGTTCCAATAAACCGAAAAAGCTAAAGGGTATTCGATAAATGTTTGTTAGTAGCCATAATGTATAGTAATGTTAGCACAATATAAATACATTTAGGCAAATGATTTATAGAGAATGGGACAGAAATACCAGGCTGTATGACTTCTACTTTAAAAAAAAAAAAATTTAAATTAGAAACTGGCTCATGGACCTATACTAATTATTTATGTTTTCACAACCCTGACCATTTTAATTAACACTCTCAATTTCATAATTCTGCCATCCGTAATGGTTATCCATTCCATGTCAATGTATTTATCTGCTATCATCATTCCTTTTTTCCGCTGTTGTTTATTTTAAATTTTTTACCCGATGTGACTATCAATGCAATTTTCACATCAGCGTATCCCCCAAGGCGAAGCCCAGAGTTGCCAACAATGTTAATGAAATTTTGGGAAGTATTATTAATAAATGAACGGTGATGATATATTTATCTTTAAAAAAAATATTTTGAAATGTAACTACTGTGCGCACAAAGCTTTTGATTTACTAGAGCAGGGGTGCCCAAAAGGTAGATCCCTAGATGCTGTAGAACTACACCACCCATGATGCTTTGAATGCCTTTAGAATGCTTTACAATCCTTTACAATCACAAAGCATCATGGAGGTTGTAGTTTTAAAACATCTGGAGATCAACTTTTTGGGCACCCCTGTGTTAGAGGATGTTGTAATTCCAGGTACATGATATTAAATGATACATGTCAGTATTTGCAGATGACACCTATTAGACCAGGTAAAAAAAAGTTGGTAGGGAAGAACCTAGATAAATGATGGGACTGGGCAGAAACGTGGCAGACGAGAATCAATGTAGATTTACGCAAATACGCAAAATGAACAATAAACATGAGAATGATACTATAAATAGA